AAGATCCAGAGAAGTCTGTTGCACATCCTGGTAAATGTGAGGAAATTTAGATAAATCACTTGGACTAGGCGAGATGGTGGGAGGAAGAGGCAAATATGTACAATGAGAAAGAGAAATGGTTTGAGCAGTAAAATTTTTAAATATGTGCTCATTAGGATATGCCTCTTGTATCTGAACAAAATTGAGCTAATACTGTATATGGTATAATTAGACTGCTTGCACAGAATGATTAAATACATACCATGAATTTGCCCTGAGTGGTAAGCAATAAGGAGCAGTTTAATTGAGAAGAAAATTTTTTCTTGGATATTTGTTTTTATTATACAATAATTATCACATGGCGGAAAAGAATGCATGAGAACACAGCTCCACAGATTTTATTTTTTGTAATTATAAAAATTACTTGATTGTAACTATTAATTCTTGGAGTAAATATTTTATATTTCCATCACTTCTGTGGGGAAACAAAGTAATTATGAATTACCTAAAAGAAATTTATACTGTGAGATTGCTTACTATGGGTATGCTATAGATAGTAATTAAATAAACACACAGTTTCTGATAGGATGAACTTCACAGAGCTGACTATTATTGTTAACTCCACCAAGGGAAGCTTTAGCATGCAGAAATAATGCATTGTAAATGCATTTTCCTGAAAATTTTATCCTAATGAAGCAATTTATTTCTATTGGTGGGTATTTGCTGTTGGAAAATCATTGAAAGTGGCTTATTGTTGAAGGAGAGTTACTATCCATCCTGGATTGCCTGGGTCAGTTCTAGTTTACGCTTGTTCTGGCATTGGTGTGGACTATGGTTTAGTATTTGATTTAGACTTTTCAAAAATGAAGTGTTATCATTAACAGTTGCAATAAAATAAGCCAGCCTGGGTTTAGTAGGCCTCTACTTCGGACTGTTGGCTTCTTCCATGGTCTCCTCTGGGAATGTGTGAGTTGATACTTGGATGTAGTTGAATCTAGAGATAATCTGGGATAACTTATCTCTTTTCCCTACGGTGATAGCTTCCTTTTCAGGACAGTTGGGGGTACTCACCCATTAAATGTGCTTGGCTTGGAGAGTAGTTGCTGGGGACAGTTAACTTCTTCAAGCCTGGTGGCAGTTGGGGAGGACGGGGCCTGGCAGCTACCTGTACCAGTGGCTGTGCAGTGGCCACAGCTGGATGCTGAGGGACACTGATGCTGCCAGGACACCACTTCCTTGGGTATCAGTGGGAAATGGGACATTTTGAAGTAGAGTGACAAGATAGAGGCTAAGCAGTTCTTTAAATTCTGCTTAAAAAACTGTATTCCTTCTTGCTACCGTGGTTTTTGTCATTTATTGCAAGGAGTAAGTTCATAGCGTTTTCTTAGGTTCAGATTTTAACAACTATAACAATTTGAGTTATAACTCAAATACTATAACATTTACCTTTTTAAAATATAAAATTGCTTAGCCCTAACTACTATCTATCTTAATAATGTTTTCATCATCCCCCAAAGAAATTAAGTACCCATTAGCAGCACTGTTTTGTATCGATAATACTTTTTTTACTTTGTAATAGTTTAAAGTACATATTTAATGATTCTGTCATTCCTGTTCCCTCTTCAGAGACTCTTACTTTAAATAATAAATGGTTACTCTCCTTCTGATGCAGGCCATGGTAAAGAACAATGGGATAGAGTAAAAGACTCCCAGGCACAGGCCTAGTTCAGCCCAGCCTGGAATGGCTTTTATGATTCTCAAGATTGTAACAAAACAACAACAAAGCAGCATGTGTGACAGGGACCTTATGTGGTCTCAAAGCCCCAAATATTTACAATTTGGTTCATTATAGAATAATTCTGATACCCCTGGTTGAGATTCTGTGGCTGACAGTGTTTATCAGAAGGCTTTTTTTTTTTTAATTTTCTCTATACATGCACGTGTTTTTATTTGGTTTCTACTTTTTACCTTTATAAAATTAAAGAGGCTTAAAATTAACAATTAAGATAAGGCCTAGAAACAAAAACCTTGTAAAGAACGAATGAAGATACATACATCTGGAAAAGAAATCAGATGGTTGCTGCAACGAAATATTGAGCAATAATAATAATAATGCAAAAAAAGTAACGTTTGACTGTGAGGTTCAGTATGCAGTCATCAGTTAACTTTTTTTTTTCCCAAAGTCTCAATAAATAGACAACTAATATTTATAAATAAAAATAGAAGATAATTTCAAAAAACAGATTATACCAAATCTTATAGACAATAGAAAAAGAAGAAATACTTTAAAATCATTCTACTTCATCTGGATATACCTGATATTAAAATTGGAAAAAATATATTATTATAAAGGGGAAATTACAAACATATTTCACGTATAAATGAGGATGCAATATCCTTAACAACATATGAACAAGTTGAATTAAAAATTATTGTTCAAATAATGGACTTTGGTCAAAATTAAATCCAATTTATATGAGAATTAGTCACTATTTTATTTATTTTTTTCTTTTCCTTTCCCTTAACCCCTCCTTCTTTCTCTCTCTGTCTGCTCTCCCTTTCCTGCACTCCCCCCACCATGTCATTAATTGTCACTAATTGTCCTCATATCAAAGTTGAATACATAGGATTCATGCTTCTCCATTCCTGAGATGCTTCACTAAGAATAATGTGTTCCACCTCCGTCCAGGTTATACAAATGCTGCAGAATTTCCATTTTTTTAAATGGCTGAATAGTATTCGATGGTATACATCGAATACATATACCACAGCTTGCCATTCCATTCCCGAGTTGAGGGGCATTTAGGCTGTTTCCAGATTTTAGTGATTATAAATTGAGCTGCGATAAATAGTCAGTACAAATGTCTTTATAATAAAAGGGTTTTTTTTCCCCCTTCTGGATAGATTCCCAGTAATGGGATTGCAAGATCAAAAGGGAGGTCTAGGTTGAGTTCTTTGAGGTTTCTCCATACTTCCTTCCAAAAAGGTTGTATTAGTTTGCAGTCCCCCCAGCAGTGTAAAAGTGTTCCTTTCTTTCCACATCCGCGGCAGCCTGTGCAGTTTTGAGATTTTGTGATATAGGCCGTTTTCGCTGGGGTTAGATGATTATCTCAGGGTGGTTTTAATTTGCATTTCTCTAATAATGAGGGATGCTAAGCATTTTCTCATATGTTTACTACCCATTTATCTGTCTTCTTTAGAGAAGGTTCTGTTCATCTATCAGAAGACCTTCTCCGCACAGTATTTTATCATGAGCATGTCTTTGTTAGTTAAAAAGCTTTGGAAATTAATTTCTCCTCGTTGGTTTTAGTGTTATGGATACATGAGGCTCTGATGCCCCAGAGCTGGCTCGGGATATAGTTTGTTTCCTGTCTAGAGCAAAGGTTCTCAATGTGAGGCTTCCTCCCTGCAGTGGGTGTGTCAGGTCAGAGTTATTTACTACTTAGTACGATAACATTATTTTCTTTCTCCCTGTTGATACTGTATAGTGTGAAAGCAATAGAAGGGGCCTTCCCAGAAATCCAGGCAGTGGCACTAAGCTGATCTAGCCATCACTGTGCTCTCCACTTCCTTGTTCCAAGGGAAAAAACAAAGACGAGTTTCACCTAAAAGTGTCCTTGATGAAGCCAGTACAGACTAATTGTATTACATCTCAAGACTTGAGTTTCATGTGTGATGACATGGCAACAAGGCGGTCCTGCTCCTGATGGCTAATTCTAGGAAAAGCATATTCATGTCATTTGGGTTGGTGATTATGAGCTAGTCACTTTTTTTTCACAGAAAGTCATTTTTCCTTGCGAAAATGGCTGACAAACTGTGGTGATTGGCAGACATTTTCTTAAGAATGACTAGAATAAGCCTATTGCTTTAGAGAAAATGGACAGTGTTGATATAGCCAGTGATTAAAGTTACTTTTGGCCAAGAATTAGGATTTTGGAAAGCTCATATCTGGCACCGAATGTTTGACAGCTTCCTAATACTGACATTAAGGTGGTTTTTTTATATTATACAATGAAACATGTAATTTTACAATTATACAATGAAACGTGTCAGAAAATATTTTGCCAAGGACCAGTGTGTGATACAAAATCAAGCCCGAGTAAAAGATATATTCAAAGTATTAGATCTTAAGTATTAATTAGTAAAAGATGTATTCAAAGTATTAGATCTTAAGAGTATAGAAGTTCATTGACATGAATTTAGATTCTACGTTGCAACTAACTTTTTTAAAACTACCACTTGTCTTAACAAGGTACTAAAAAAGAATATTTATAATTATCCAGGAAGGGAATTGAAACATTCCTCATTTTTTCTAGTTAAATAGCTGTGTGACACCAGATTTTCTTAATATACTTCGCCCACAGCAATATTGAGTGTGGAAGTGGCTCTGAGAATCCAGCTGTCTTCTGTTAAGTCAGCCATTAAAGAAGTTTGTAAAAACTATAAAACACTGTTGCTAGTCTTGCTAAATTTTGTTGTTTGGGAAAATACCATTATATTTAAGAAAATATAGTATTTAAATTATATGATGGATTTATTACATGACTTTATAAGTATTTAATTTTTTCTGTTTTAAGAACTAATAGGGTAAGCATCATGAGATATATATAAGCCACATAAACAAGAGCTCTATGAAGTCTTTAATACTTCAAAAAATATAAAGATCTGAGACCAAAATATAAAGATCTGAGACTTATCATGGGTTTAGGCAATTATTTTCATAGTCCTTTGAAATTTACTAGCTGGAAATAATTTGTATGAATGTGTCACCATAAAGTTTTCATGTGTTTGGACAGACAATATCATGATCATTTCACCAGACATTTCCTCTTGGCCATATAAGAAAAATCTCTTCTATTATTGTGTTTTCCTTTTTTATTAACTCTCATAGCAATGCTGGGATGAAAACAACTCACTTGGAGTCTCTTTCTGAAATGGGGAGCACTGAACTGGTGGAAAAGGAGACCTCGGAAAGCCTCAGTAACGGTACCAGCAGCAACGTGGATGCAGCCAAAAGGTTGGCCAAACGCCTTTACCAACTAGACAGATTCAAAAGATCGGATGTCGCAAAACACCTAGGCAAGAAGTATGTCTGACCCAAGACTGTTGTCTGACTTTTATTTTGTTTTGTATGGGGGGTGTTTTTGTTTATTTCCATGTTGTCCATTTCAATAACCAAGGCTATTCTATTTTATTAATTTATAGCAATGAATTTAGCAAACTGGTTGCAGAAGAATATCTGAAGTTTTTTGATTTTACAGGAATGACGCTGGATCAGTCTCTCAGGTATGATTAAACATTACTTCTACTCTTCATTGCCTCCAGATGATTAATTTTTGGAGGAAGTAATGTGCTGTACCTAAAATTTTTTTTCTTTTTTCTTTCTTTTTTTTTTTTTTTGAAAGTTAGAAGTTGAATGTCCCTGTGGCTCAAAGGAATAGGGACTGGCTCCATATGCCAGAGGTGACGGGTTCAAACCAAGCCCCGACAAAAAAAAAAAAAAGTTGAATGTTCCTTATCTGAAATGCTTAGGACCAGAAATGTTTTGGATTTGGGATTTCCAAGTCTAAAAATGTGAAATCTGAAATGTTGCAATGACCATTTTCTTTTAAAATGTTTTCAATTTGGGGGGCAGTGCCTATGGCTCATGGAGTAGGGTGCCGGCCCCATACACTGGAGGTGGTGGGTTCAAACCTGGCCCTGGCCAAAAACTGCAAAAAAAAAAAAAAAAAAAAAGAAAGAAAAAGGATTAATCACTAATAAATCACATATTTTAAAAAAAAGGTTTGGATTTGGGATGCACGTGCTGTACTTTGTGAACTTAGTTCAGATTATATTATAGATGTTAAACATAGAAGAGAATAAGAAAGTTATTGTTTTGGCGAAATTACATGGGAACGGATAATCTGCCTCTAATGGTAAGCCCAAGTCCAGATGGCACAGTAAAGAATGGTGGCAAAGCAAAGCTGCAGAACAAAATGGAATCTGGGGGAACTTTTCTGTTTTTCAATTTTTTTTCATTGTGGTAACATATGTATAACATAAAATTTACCATCTCAGCCATCTTAAAGTATACAGTGGCATTAAATACATCCGCAATACATCTGCAATGTTGTGCAACCACCACCACCACCCATCTCTGTAACTCTTCATCTTATAGAACTGAAACTCTGTGCTCATTAGACAGCACTTCCCCCTTCCCCTTTCCACCCAGCCCCTGGCAACAACCATTCTGCTTTTGATTTCAGTGATTTTGGCTATTCCTAGTACCTCATGGACATGGAATCATAATATTTGCCTTTTTGTGACTGGCTTATTTCACTTAGAGAGCCCTCAAGGTTTATCCATGATATAGCATATTGCAGATTTTTTTCCTTTTTAAGGATAAATTAATATTCCATTATGTGGCTGTACCGCCATTTGCTTATCCATTCTTCCATCCATGGACAGTTCCAAGTTTTAGCTGTTGGGACTAAAGCTGCTATGAACATGGGTGTGCAAATATATTTGAGACCCTGCTTTTAGTTCTTTTCGCTAGTGAATTTGGGTTTTGAATGATCAGTTGTTTTGTTTTTTGTTTTTTGGTATGTATATAACTGGTGGTATATTTTATTGAAGGAATACTAGTCTTTTAAATGCTATTTTTTTAATTTTTATTAAATCATAGCTGTGTACATTAATACAGTCATGGGGTACAGTGTGCTGGTTTTATATACAATTTGAAATGTTTTCATCAAACTGGTTATCATAGCCTTCATGGCATTTTCTTACTTATTGTGTTAAGACATTTATATTCTACATTTAGTAAGTTTCACATGTACCCCTGTAAGATGCACCGTAGGTGTGGTCCCACAATCACCTTCCTTCAACCCATCCTCCCCCCTTCCCTACCCCTCCTCTTGCTCTCCCCTTTCCCCATATTCTTGGGCTGTAATTGGGTTATAACTTTCATATGAAAGCTATAAATTAGTTTCATAGTAGGACTGAGTACATTGGATACTTTTTCTTCCATGAATGCTCAGTTGTTTAAAGAGGAACAGTTTATAGACTGTTGAATAATGGAATGTTTTCTGATGTGTTTGCTTACTGTAGCCAAATTGTCTTTTAAGACTGTACTTTGGAATTAACTCTTGAGTGGAATAAGAATGGATATAATAACCAGTGGAAGGGATCTGTCTGTAAAATTGTTTCCCAACATTCTCTACTTTTTGCTGACCTTTTCACATGAAGATGTCTAAAACATAGGGATCCTTTTCACATTATATTGTATGGCCAATTTCTACCAGCAGCAGAAGATAAAACCCAGTCATCTTTCGGTCTCACAGACTATAAAATGTTGGAGCTTAGAAGAATTCTGAGACCTTATAATGCAACCCTTTAATTCTACAAGTTAGGAAACTGACAATGTTTAGATCAGAATGTACTATAGCGATTTATTCTGTGGCTCATTCCTATATCAAGGGCACTCAGAAATTTTCTAATAAAAGCAGGTAAGGGTATAGAAAAGGTCTACATTTTTGCTTTGCATTCTGATGTAGTTTATTAAAGTTATGGAAAATTAAAGTTTAATCAATATAATTTAGGTTAATAAACTAAATCTATAATAAGGAAAAAAGCAAAATTTTCATGGAAATATGGTTTAGTGTGCATATGTGTGCATATGTATATATTAATAATTCTTAAGATATTTTGGATATTTTTTCTTCCCATCTCATATTTAGGAAAATGCATCTATGTTATCAAGTGAGGGTCATCTGGATCAATCTATAATAAACCATACTCTCATTGACTGGTTTAATTAGTATGTGGCTCTAGGCATATTTCTGATTTTTGAAAGTTTAGTATATCAATTATTTCATAATTTAAAGAATAAACTAGGGTTTTATCATTCAATTTCCTCCTCATATAATAGTAATAAAAGTGATTAAATTAACAAAAGTCTGCCATGCACATGACATTGCAACTGTAATTTTGGCAGTGGAGTGACTAGTGGAGATTACAAACTTGTAACAAAACAAGAAAAGAATACTGATGTGCATAGAGTTTTAAAACATGGCCCATGTATGATTATGCCTTGAGTCATAAGTGGTTTGGGGGATTTTTATTGACCTTTTAAAATTGACTACTTGATACTTAATCATAATGGGTAATTACCTACCTTTCCAAAGCTTGTTACCCTGGGTAAAGCCCCATGGCGTCATAGCTCACAGCAACCTCAAATTCTTAGGCTCAAGAGACCCTCATGCCTTAGCCTTCCCAGTAGCTGGGAGTTCAGGCTCCCCCGCCACACCTGGCTAGTTTTTCTATTTGTGGTAGAGCTGGGGTCTTGCTCTTGCTCAGGCTGGTCTTGAACTCCTGAGCTCTAGCAGTCCACCCTCCTTGGTCTCCCAGAGTGTTAGGATTATAGGTATGAGCTACTACACTGGGTCTCCAAGGCTTTCTTGATGTATTGACCACCACTGTTACCACCCTGTCATCTTTTATATTGATATTTTATAGAATTTAAATACCAGTATATATTTATAGTGATTATAAATATATAATATATTATATTACATATAATATAGTAAATGACCATCCAGGGAGTGATTTTTTTAAGATAACTATATATCTTCATACCATTCATCTCATGTTTATATAACTTAACTGTTCGAACATAGTGTGATTTAAATTTTCGAAAATTTCACTTTTTTCTCCTTAATTCTTTTTTAGGTATTTCTTTAAAGCATTTTCTCTTGCGGGAGAAACTCAAGAACGAGAGAGAGTTTTAATACACTTTTCAAATAGATATTTTTATTGCAATCCAGATACCATTGCTTCACAAGGTAATCTGAACATAAGTTCTTCAATATCTTTCCTATAATAATAATTTTCCTTCTCGTGAAAATTACATTTTACAAATGTGCAGAAAAAAAATAAAAATCATCCAATTTGAATATTACTTGAATAATATTACTTACTTGAATATAACTTACTTGAATATAATTACTTGATATATTACTTGAATATAACTCATTACTTGAATATAACTATTTAACACTTTGACTTACTGCCTTCTAGTCTGTTTGTCTAATATTTAATGTCACATTAGAATTATTAAAGTTTTTATTTTCCTACTTTTAATTTCATTATTTGTTCATTTTCTTATGCCATTAAGTTTTCTTGTTTTTTTAAGAGACAGAGTCTCCGGAGCGGCACCTGTGGCTCAAAGGAGTAAGGTGCTGGCCCCATATGCCAGAGGTGGTGGGTTCAACAAAAAAAAAAAAAGAGAGAGAGAGAGAGTCTCACATTATCGCTCTTGGTAGAGTACTGTGGCCTCACAGCTCACAGCAACCTCTAGCTCTTGGGCTTAGGCATGATTCCCTTACCTTAGCCTCCCAAGTAGCTGGGACTACAAGTGCACACCACAATGCCCAGCTATTTTTGTTGTTGTTGTTGCGGTTTGGCCAGGGTCAGATTTGAACCTACTACTCTTGGTATATGGGGCTGGCACCCTACTCACTGAGCCACAGGTGCCACCCAGCCATTAAGTATTCTTTAAAAGCATAATGTTTAATAACAGCATGATAGTCTTTACTCTTTTATTTTTAATCTGTTCTTCAGTTCCATAGTGTGAAAGTATAGTTTCTTTAGATTGTTTATGCTTTGCCATTCTGAGATTTTTCTGTGCAAAATGCATTATAATAAGTGAAAACTTATAGTTTTCTTATTTCTTCTTCTTACACCTTTGGCCTGTATACTTCTTGATGAAAGTGGATATCTGCTTGTGTTCATAATTAGTTTTGGAAACTTTTACAAATCTCTCTGGAAGTTGTGCTACGTCTGTGATGCTTTTGTTTGATAATAACACTGACCACTGACTTGCACCTATGATTGTAATCAACTGTGTGTTTTTTGTACCATTTTTACATAGTAAACTATTTAATTGTAAATTACTTAACTGTTGACCTGCCTTATGACCTCCATTACAATTCCCACAACAAAACAAAGTTTTTAAGAGTTTGAAGTCAAGCAAATCTTAGAAAAAAAGATTAGAAAAATCTTCATAAACTTACAAATTCTGGAATAAATCACTGATATTAGATGTATGAGAAATGCAATTATCTCCTGACTTCATTATTAACTGGGATAACTGAAGTCTGTTTACGTACCTTCCCTTCATCCTCCAGGCTGTAGCAACAGTTAATTCATCATCTGATTATTAAGGTCGTATTTCTATTTGTAAACTGGTGCAATTTGGACCAGTTATTTACTATCTCTATCACCTTCACCATTCAGCAGAGAATGAAAGAGATAGAAGAGAGTGGTTTTTACCAGAACCTTCTTCAAATCTAAGAACATGTTGACATTTCTGCCAAAAATAAGGAATTGGTTCTTGATATGCATATTTGAGAGTTGGCTGCTTGAGTTATACAAATGCTTATCAGGAATGTGTTTTAAATGTATGTAGAATTTGTAACACATAGCATAATCAAATGGAACTAGCATGAATATATTTGTAGGTGAGTAGTAGCACCTATCTAGAGACATTGATAACAGAAATCACATACTATGCTAAAAAACTTACACTTTTAAAAATAGGCTGTCTTTAATTTATGCATTCAGTAATTAGGCCTTTCTGTACATTCAGCATAAAATTGATAAGATTTTTACTGCCTCTGAAAGTATCATTGTCTACTGTACTTGATTTGGGAATTAGTAGGGAAAATATAAGGAGAACAACAAATTCTAATGTTCGGAAATGGGAAGCTTCACTCCTCATGCTTTTTCTTTTCCCATATAAAGTAAGAAATAGTGTTGCCATTTATTTAAGTAGAAACTATCCTCTGGCTTGGGCAACATTTTCCCCTGAATGTTTAGTTTTTAAATGTTCAAGAATATTTCAATATTTTACTTTGGTCTGGTCCATAGTATCCTAGACAAAACCATTCAACCTAAATCTGCTTTTAAAGAATGGCATGAAGACCAGCACTCTGGGAGATGCCTGTAGTCACAGCTATGTGGGAGCCTGAGGTAGGAGGATCAGTTGAGCCTAGCAGTGCAAAGCTGTAATTTTCTCTCATCACACCTATGAATAGCCAGCCACTGCACAACAGCCAGGGCAACATAGTAAGACCCCATCTCTAAAAGACAAACAAAAAAAGAATGGCAAGAAAGAACTACTTCTGCCTATGTATTTAAAGCCAGAAAAATAATACCCAAACAGTAAACAATAGTAAACTTAAATCTTGGTTTACTTTATCTACTTTCTTAATCAACTTTCCTCCCAGAATTTTTTTTCATTCTCATATTGTTATAGAAAATTGAGAAAAATAACAAGAAGATAAAAATTATAATCTCATACCCAGAGATAATCTCTTTCAGTATTATGTTTATTTTGCTTAATGTATTTATACTTAAATGGAATTATACTGTGTATAATGGCTTTCATATAATTATTGGGAAATATCTTTCTATTTAGACATGAATACTTGAACCACGTTTTAGTGACTTCAACACAACAGAATTGGTTTGGGGGGGTCAAATTTAATTTCGGGGGGTCTCCCATTGTCAGTGGTATTTCTGTGTATATCTGTGTGCTTTGTATGGATCTTTGATTGAGCCCTTAGTTGTAAAGCCCTCGAAGTAGATGTGTTGTGTCCCAGGACACTGTTTTCAAAGCTTTACATGTATACTGTCAAATTTTCCTCCAGACAGGTAGTAACAACTTACTTTATCAACAATATGTTCTGACTCTGTGCATCCTATAATTTATTCAGAGTCATTTTCTGTCCCCCAAACAAGTATGATTGTGCCTAGGGTGGTATCATGTTTTCATCGATCCTTGATGAGTGCTATCTTAATGATAAGAAGGGGGAATCTAACAGTTAATAGTGAACTAATGCTTTCTGCCCTTGTCTCTTTCTTTAGATGGAGTCCATTGCCTTACCTGTGCAATAATGCTACTTAACACTGATCTACATGGCCATGTAAGTGTAGGTGTGGGACGCTGTCTTACAGAATCTGGAGCATTGTGTCCAGATATGTTTATTCTCTGCATCCCTTTTTCCCATTCTCTACATGGTTCCCACATCAGGCAATAAACACAGATCTTTGGAAAACGAAATAACTTGTTATTTTACATCTTAGCACGGAACATAATTTGAAGGTACTAAAGAGTTATTTTTGCACAAATATGAGGGTTCTGTACCTTCTTTCTCCACTAGATGGCACACAGAGCTTTTACTTGTTTTCATTTTCTCTTGGAATTATGGTTGATACGTAATGATGAAAAGGGAATATAAATTCTGAAAATGTCTGTTTTGTTATCACTAAATGCAGTGGCAAATCTAAGAACTGAGCCTTTTCTGTGCTTCTCAGTCCACCTTTCACTACTTGAAATATCAAAATAACCTAATTATCTTCTATTTAAAATAGAAAATGAACTTAAAGTTATAATGGCACATGAACTTCCACTTTTTCACTGAAAGTGGACTTCCACTGAAGTGGAATTTTAGCATTTACTTAAACTTTTCATGTTATAGAAAAATAAGATTGTTTTAGTTAAATGTCAGTCAATCAATACTTGCGTAGAACAAAAAGGTCCATTTATTTTAAAGAGAAGATCAGGTTTCTATATAATCAAAAAGTGTATCATCTCTTGATTTGCTGCAATTTTAAAAGTTACATTAAAAGAACTAATACATATGTGTTCTACTAGTCACGTAATTCCCTTCTTTTGAAACTATAGTGTTCTTCTTTATAGAAGGCCAAATAGAGCCATGTGGGATCATTGAGTTAGGCACGGTTATAAGATTATTAGGGGGGAAAGGCTTTTATCATCGGCAAAGTAAAGAGGAAATTAATAGTGATAGACCCATAACTATAACATTGTCTTTATGTATCTCAAAGTACTAGACAATTGGAAGCTCCTTTATCAATTTGTAAGGGGTGAATTGAGAATAAATCAGTGGCTTATATATAGCATGTGTGTTCACAGATTCTACAGACTAACAATGTAGATACTTTGAGGGAGTATTTTTGGGTGATTGGTCTGTCATATCTCAGTGGAAATGGAAGTACTGTGCTTCCCACAGTGTGAGTCTTAAACTGAGTATCAGAATCTAACTTTTATCTAGCTTGTTAAGGGGATAACCAGTTGGTAAGTTGTCCTGACCTCTCTTTGCTTGTTACCAGTCAAACAAGTTTCCACTGCTTTCTTCAGTTCCTGTTTTGTGTACTTTGCCCCTTTCTTACCCTTCCAGTCCCCAACGTCTTAACCTTTCTGCTCAAAATAGACAATTTTAAGTGTCCTTGTGCACATTTAACCTTCACCCAAACCAGAAATTCCCAGCTTGCGAAATCCTCTTCACAGCAAATATCTTGAAGTCCCATCAACATATGAGATTTGTGCATCTGGCATCTGTTGACTGTGGAAAATATGTAATGATGGCAGTGCAGGGGGCATCTAGGGACATTTCCATTCCTATTTAAAGGTTGGGGGATCTCATAGAACTTCTAGAGGTTGTCAGATTTGGGGGATTTGTTTGTAGTAAATTCTAGATAGCTTTTTAGAAAGTTAATATACCTTTAATAACACTTCCAAATAAACATGTATTTTGTTAACCACCATAATTTGAAATATAGCAGAAAATAAAGGTGTGAGAATTATTTTCCTATTCAGATATCTCAGCATGCTTGATGTCCAGGCATGCTACCCCCGTGTGTGTAGCCCAGGTTCAGAGCCACAGGTCTTATCTTTACACAACTTTTGAGGGATTGTGAAGAAATGAGATGAAGCATTGTGTGCTTCTTTGTGACAACTGGGATGGAAGAGAGTTCATATAACTAAAGGTTTCAATATTACCTTGAGCTGTGCCACTCATAGATAATGAACAATTAGTTATAATAGCAAAATCAGATATAAGAGGGAGAAAATTATAAATAATATGAAATCTCTCCAGCATTATGGCTTTGCCCATTGTTCATTAACTTAGGGTTATCTATTTAGATTTTATATATTACTTTTCTTGATCTTTATTTACAATACATGCTCTTACAAGTCTGTTGAATATATGGTCGCTATCATAAAAACTAACCTTATAAAAATGTATTTCTCTTATCTTTCTCCTGGATTCATTTTTAAAATTTTCCTTCTAGGTGGTAAGTTTTCGTCCATGATTCTGGATATAGCATCTCTCGCATCATGATTGCCTGATTTTTTGTTACAGTGTCTGTTTGACATATTAGCATGGTCCCTATGAGGCTAAATCACGCTTAGAAAGTAAAGTGAATTATTTCTACTGTCTGCCCCTTTTCACCTGTTCTGAATGTTGTTTGCCTAGGCTACCACCACCCATGACTTGGTTCAATGCCTGACTAATGCTCTAGGGGGGTAAACTAATGAACTATTTTCCTTTTCTTCCTTATCATTGTATCATAATATCAATATAACAGCATGTTCCTCCTAAGAAGCATGGAGACGAGCTTGCCTTATGCTAGGGGAGGGGTAACCCGGGAGGTTAACTTCTTTTGGCTCTTCGTTGTGACTCTTTACTCTGAGGAATGATGTTCTGAAAGCACATTGATATGGTCCTTGATTTGGCCTGCTAATTTCCTTACTAATACCATGATGGAACATATGCTAATAAATACTTCTCATAGTTCAATGTGACATGTTGGAATTGTCTTTTCTCATTCAACAAGCACTTAAATATTGTGTGTCTGCTCTGTTCCAAGTTCCATGCCATTTGGGTAAGGCTCAGCAGTGAATGAGACATGTTCAGGGAAGCCAAGTCTCTCTGTGGTAGTGCTGGTGAAGCTGACCTCGTTAGTCAAGTTCAACTGCAGACACAGGAGCAGATAGCTGAGGTGGTGTGGTAGAAAACCTGTGGAGGTGTTTTAATTTCGCATTGGATTATAGTTAAACCTCACTAATTAGGCTAAGTAAATAACAATCTGAAGTGTATGTAATGTTTGGGGGGAGAAGTTCCTTAATCCTCTTCAGTTCCTGCTTTGAAGAAAAATGGAATAATATATCATGATCTTAGCAGTAGCATTATCTTACTTTTACTTGTCTGTAAGTTTTATTCTGTTAAATAAATATTTTGTAGCTTTGATCATGTGGCTAAAAGGCTAAGTAACATTTTTTATTCTTAAAATACCTCTTCATCTACAAAGCATGTATGCAAATTAAGCTGTATATACAGATACATTTCTATTAAACTGTAGAGTTTATCTTTCTTTGCTATATTGGAACTAAGAAATGGTACTGAATTTTGCTTGAACTGTTGACAAAGATATATATATATATATATAATGTTTGTTTAAACATTATAGGTGTATTTTATTGGAAATGGTATGAATTACATGGATTTGGCCAGTTAGAATAATTTATACTTATTCCCTTTCTGGTCTAATCTTCAACTGTGTTCTGTTTGCTACAAGGAGCCAACTCTCTCATATTTCGATCATAGTTAGTCAGCATCTAGACATCCTAGCAGCATGATCACCCAGGGCGAAGGCAGGAGGCAAGGGCAGGACACGTCTCACCAGGGCTGGCATTCGGAGGTGGCAGACGTTTTAGACATAGCGTTGAATTGCTTTGAAGAGTGAGATAGACTGGAGGATAGTCAGCTGGCCAGTTTCACAACTAGGAAGTCACAAGAGATACATAAGCCAGTGGCTGGCTATGTAAGTCCATGGTCAGAGACTATAGCCAAGCCACTATTTTTCATCAAGATTTGTTGACAAAAATCTACCTTTTAACATTGTGGTTTAAGATTTTTTTTCTTTTTTTTTTATTTCTTATACCATAACTATGTACATTAATGCAATCATGGGGTACAGTGTGCTGTTTTCATATACATTTTGAAATACTCTCATCAAACTAGTTCATAACCTTCATGTCATTTTCTTAGTTATTGAGCTAAGACATTCATACTCTGCTTTTAGAAAGATTCACTTGTACCAATTGGAAAATGTTCTTCTTAGCAAAGTATCTCAAGAATGGAAGAAAAAGTATCTAATGTACACAACCCTACTTTGAAACTAATTCATAGCTTTTATAGGAGGGTTTAAGATTTTTAATAGCAGTTTTATCCAGCATCCCTGGATTGGTAGGAGCTAGTCTCCCATGTGCAGTGAGTACCAGGCTGGTGTGTGGTTCTCTCTTTCCACCTTGGAGTGGACCTGCTGCACGTACTTTGTCCTTGGGATACTGGGGGCGTGATGAGCATCACCCTGTGTGGCCTGAGTTTAATATAGGTGGCAGGACTTTAGGGTGTTTTTAGTCTTAGGTTGTACATTTGATAAGGAGTGAAACCGAGACTAATACACCAATCTGGTAGGGAAAAAGAAAGAAGTCAAGGAAAAAAGAACATGTAGGTTTTGGAAACAGAATAATGTTAAAGAGATATGTGGAGTTCAGTTTGAGTTAGGTCATAGGAATTCATTCTTTCTTTTCTAGTCTTTACAGTGAATTCTTAGATTTGCTCTCTACGAACCTAAAATTTTAAATGGTGGATGACTATTTGACTTACTGTCAATGATAGAAAATGATTATATGAAAATTGTTATCAAGGAGATTTAATGCTTTTAATTCTTCATATTGTGCTATTGTATATTTTCATCTTCCCAAGTTGAACCATATGTAGTTAATATCCTTAAGTGTTTATAATTTCTGGTTATCATTATTATAATTGGCAGCTGTGTTAAGTGCGTTTTGCATGCTGCCCGCCCCTATTCCTGTACAGCTGTCTTCTCCATGGATACCACTTCCTGTCTGTGCTGCCTTGTGTATCCTCCATGCCCTCTGCCAGGAAATCTATCCTTGGTGTTCCTTTTTCTCCCTGAGCCTTTACCCTTGTGTAGATCCCAGTGACATCTTGATTTCCATTAAAGCAGCACCTCCTCCCTCGAAGTCCTCTCCTCCACCTGCTTGGTGCCATGTCTGTCTTTTCACTCACATGCAGCTTCCCAGCCACAATGA